TCTAAAATTTATGAATTTTTATTAGATCGGATTACCAAACTCAGAAGATACCATTTTTTTTCATGCAAAAATTGTGAGGTGCGTTATGCATGTATATTAAACTATATACGTGTTTATTTTTTCTTTTACAAATGAAAGAATGTTAGTAAGTATCCAAACATACTCAAAAAAAGTCTGCAGGTCATGAAAAATGGCAATTAGTTTTCGTAGACTCTCAGTTCTGTTTATCAGCTACTCCATGGATCAAGCGAAAGACCCTAACGTGATATTGATATAAATATAATATATATATATTCAAATGTGAACCTAGGAAAATTATGGGCGAAAACCTGGAACAAAAGAAGTAAAGAAGTAGAATATTTATCGTGAAAACCTATCATATCAGAAGAATATAGGAGACCGTTTTATTTTCGAATGCTCAAAAGTTCTTTATTGCAGTAAGGATCTCATCCAATAAAGGAGGTCATCGTGATTTACAAACCCTAGACAAGCTCCATTATGCAAGAAGTCGTTTCAGAGTACACTAAAAAAGTTAGTACGCGGTTCAAAGGATATCTTAAACCTTCAAAAATTTACTGAAGTCTGTGGAACCACACAGTAAAATGGAATTCGCGGAAAAGACTCGAACGGGGAATAAATATCCACGATGCAATTAAAAACTCATGCGAAAAGCATATTGTATAGGATTTGAAAGAGGGGGAGTTCTTTGGTCGCCGGAAACGTGGATCCAACAATCTACAGTAGGTGGCGCGGAGCCCTAGACGGCTTGGCCTGCCCAGGCCGCGCCCACTCGATCTGAGCGAAGGCTCGCCCGGTGAGTGGACAGGGAGGGAGAACGATGACAGTAGTTGTAAGAATCGAGTCACAACTTGATTATAGATAGACAGGAAGTAGGAAGGGGACGAGGGATTGTACATTTTTTTTTTCCCTTTCTTCCCTCCTCTTTTCTTGATCTGAGTCGGTGACAATTCAATCTTTCGTGCCATGCTTCTTCTGTGGTGTTGGTTGTAGTTGGTGGCGCACCCATAACCGGTCCAAAACCTTGTTGACTGTTCCTTCTTTCTTTCAACATTGTATTTTGTTGAGCCTCGTATCGATTCTATTCTTACTCGCTGACATTAGTCGTGTGAGGTACGATGCAAGTTGATGAGGCTGCATTGTGTGCATGTAGAAAGGTTGTTCATCTCAGGTTGTAGATACTTAAAAGAAAGAGTGGCCCAGAGAATACCTTTACAGTAAAGTACTGTACATATCTGTTCTTGTCTGCTCTAGAAATCCCCTCAGCTCGGTCTTTGCTAGCTAAGATGTCGACGAATGTAGCAGATAAGTGATCAGTGATGCGATGGGCTAGAGTTAGGATAAGAAATAAAGGCGAAGGGGCCGAAGATATACACCCGAATTGCAGATACAGTAGTATTTGTGTTCGTCTTATTTGTTTCAAACATTTCTTATCATTTATTATTTGTATATTTCATCGAAGTTTCATGCACAGTCACTTTACTGAGTTCTCCTCATCTATACTATTTTAGTTTGCGGACTTCCGAAGCATATTGTTTGCTTCACAAGGTTGCTCGACAGCAATGATCGAACTGGTTGGCGCTGTCCTTGCAGAGCAACATATTACAGGAACAGATTACCTTCTTCAGGTATAGTTATCCCACACACTCACTATGATCGACTTGTGAGCATACCACTGGAGCTCTTGAAAGTGTAATTCACCCACTCCCATTGGAGTGTAACTGGTTACCTAAATAGAGGGAGGAGAAGTCAAGAACCTTTCCTAGTGTACAAGTCCACGAATCTGCAAGTACAAAATTGTTGCAAGTACACGATTGAAATGATATGCAAACAGTTGTCTAGATTTACTTTCAAATCTTGCAACATACTGTACAGATAATTCTGTACAGTATGTTGCAAAGATCCAGACTTTCTATGTTATTTCTTCCGTACCGAAATACCTGAAGAATCTAATAATATCTAGAACAATAGAAAGATCCTCCAAGCGCATCTGGAAACTCCAGTGTAAATGAAACGGGAGACACGTGGACAAAAAACGAGATGCTACCACATCCACAAAGCAAAAAGCCAACAAGAAAAGAACGAAAGCTGGGGCAAATGAAAAGGGAGAGAGCAAGTCTCTCTCGGTATATAACACTAAGGATCCATCCAACCGTGACTCTCATGTCTCCAATCACATGTGGAAACTCCAAGGCGATCAGTCGATTTCCAGAAAAAGTACACAGTTCATTCCGGTTGGCCCTTTTCAGCAGTGGGTTGTGTGTATATTCACATCAACAAGAGATGGTTCTATAGATCTGCCCAGCGCAGATGCAAATAAGACAATAAGAAGAAAGCTCTTGAACTCGTTGACAATCACTGTTTCATAAAGGAAAGGAGACAGTCAGGGTATAGTGGGAGGCAAATCCAGATCGTTTCGATGTTCAGACACGTTTGAATTCAGTATTCATTCGCGGCATGCAGTGTCATGAATATTCTTTCCTCCAAAAGACCAACACCAGCCATGTTCTTGTGGGGCATGAGGATGCATTCGGACATGTGTAATCCGATCCTAGAGCCTACAGAATCCCTCAACGCCCAGCTTTGAGTCGGGAGTTCGGGAACCACATGTTCATCCTACACTGGCAAGAACAACTATAACGGAAAAAGCCCCAGAAGGCGTTTACGATATGTCGCAGCAGTCGCCATCATGAACAAGGGTCCTTTGATTCTTATCCTGTAAAAATCGAAATGGAGATTTCACTATAGCTGCTCGTGACCAAGAAGCTGCAACATGCACGGAGCAGAATGAATGGTGGCTTTCCTTGCCACTGCGTTGTTGTTAACACCGAAATGGAGTGTCCCAAATGAAGGTCGAGACATACCCTCTCGACACCTCTTTATATAGTAGGCAGTGATCGGCTGTCTTGCGACGAATTGGAGGGGTAGGGAAAACAAATCGTACTTGGACAGATACCTGTATATCCGTAATGACACCGCACAATCTGTGACGAACTTTACGTGCGATTCATACTGTAGAGCTCTGTGTTCGAGGCCTTAACACTGTCTCTCTCAGCTACTCACCTCGTTCCTTCTGTAGGGTGTGGGACCTCTAACCACACACGGAATTCAAGTTGTGCACATGGATGGATGGATCGGCCTACTTGTCATGATTACGAGCTACGAATGGCAGGAAATCGTGAGCTTTAACTATTTCTTATCTAACAAATGTGAGCACAACGGTTGGGGAGGCTTAATATAGGAGATATCTGTTCATCGTTCGTGTCTTTATTTAAATATCGCTGCAGTCTGTCCAAAAACCGGTTTCATCTCTTACAAAAGTGTAGGCAGTGAGTGAGTGCACGGATGTCGTCCTGTTTCCCATGCCATCTTACCCTCTAATCCGATCGCCTTCGAGATTTACTCGTCCGGATGGGGTCTGTATGCATGATCCTGTTTTACCAACAGGACGATTAGTGTTGTCCTTCTTGCCATGGATGGATCCGATCGTCTTTTGCAACCTTCTCTGGTCTGCAACATTTCCTCCGGTCACGCATACTTTAGAAGCCAAGGGTCCCTTGTGCATCATGTTGTTGCCATTTTGCTTGATGGGGGGCGGTACAGTACCAGGTTTAAATTTGTGTGGGCATCGACAAAACCTTCTTATATGATGGACCCACAGTGTCTCATCAAAGCTAAACATCTAGAACCGAAGAGGACTGAATGAGCACCATCTGTCAGAAGTTGGGTCCTCCTCTAGACAACGATCTTGGCCGACTGAAAGATGTGTCCACGGGAGGAGATTATGCACACGAGAATCTACTCCGATGGGGTTGCCCACCGAGAAGAAGATTCTGCGAAAGGCCGAAGCGGGGAATGGACCCTACGACGGTGACAACAACGACGTCAAAGGATCTTGGCTCGTCCAGGTAATGATGCTGCTCCGTTGCATTAACTCCACATGCTGCCATCAATCATCGTGCATGATTGGATTAATCGTTAGTAATGAGACTTTGCGCCAGATCTACACGCCCAAAGCGGGCCAAGATGTCAGGAATATGCCACATCGACGACCCAGGATTTGTCTCCGCACGCCTTTGCCCATCGAAAGGTCGACGTCGTTCGTCTCGCGTACGTGGTGCGTAGTGAGGGCTGTAACGAACTGCAACGAGGAGCCTAATTCTCCGCTTTTCGCTTACACGGTTGATTGTCATCTACTGCGCAGTCAGTACTTTATCCTCCGGAGCGCCTTCGCTTAAGCAAAACCGTTGGTCCACTTAGATCGTTAATGAGCGCGCGTTCCGTGATGTCGTGCGATGATTAGACTTCATGAGCATGGCTCGTACAATCGGGTCCCTTCCCAAAATGATTCTAGGTCACAAGACAGGAGATGGCGTAACCATTGCTCGGCAGCTAACTCGTCGTGGAGAGTTAATAATTTCTGCTTTGTTCCGCAAGATGTTCGGTGCCGTATTAACTCATGCTTACGGGAGAATCCGCAGCAGCATAGGAATGTCGGGAGATGCCGGTGCGTGACAATAATGGAGAGGTTCCAGGAGCATGGGAGGGGCGATTGGCGATGCGAATGCAGTTTCTTCGACGTGGAGGTGATGGAGATGGAACTACGGAGCCCGTCGTGCGCATCAAAGTCCAAGCCTGGTTCCAAGGTCAGGGGTAGGAAGGCAACAAAACTCTTCGGAGAGAGTCGACCGAAAAGAGTTCACGCGAACCCAAAGGGGAGCAGAAAATCAAACCTGTGCTTTACGGGCCTACCGCAGGCAAGCCTTTGGACAATGAGACGACCGCTGTTGTTCTCGATGTATTATAGTGGCTGGTGAGAAAAGTCCAAATCCGGGAGTCAGTGGAATTATTAGTATTATAAGCGCTAAGTAGGTGGCGAAATGCGAGCATCGGGAGGGAGGGAGGGCGGAGTAAAATGATTTGCAGTGCGCGGGACCGAGTGAAAACTAGGTAAGTTGGGGAGGTGGGCGTCCAGAAGTGGTCAGTGCAGAAGGAACAGAGGCAGGAGCAGCAGTCAATGTACACACATAGGGCAGGCAGGAGGAGGGAGGGAGGGAGATGGGCAGGGGAGGAGGGCACGGGCGGGAGAGCGGCCGGCCCGAGATTTAGGGTGTGGGATGGTCGCGTCAACGGCGATGTGCTCGCTCTGCATTGCAGGTCCTCAGATGTCGGGTCGGATGGTCGGAACGCTGCAGGCTGGCTGGCTGGAGCTGGCTTGATTTGTAGATGCAATTGTGCAGGCGAAGAAGGACCCTTTTATGAAGGAGTGGGCCTCAGAAGCAGCAGACCTCAGAAAGAAGGCGGAGACGAAGCAGAGCGAGGACAGTAGTGCCGAAAGAAGCGAGACGCCAGTCAGGGAAGGGGTAGGACTGGCCTGGCCTAAAGAACAGAAGAAGAAGAAGGAAAGAGTCAGAAGGACGCAGCAGCACTTGGCTGCTACCGCTGTCTCCTTGTAACTACGCAGCCAGGCACCAGCGAAGGAGTCGGAGAGCTGAAGGAAGAAAGGACTGAAGGGACAGGTAGGGGTGGGAAACGGAAGGAGGAAGAAAAGAAGGGACGAGAGCGGAGAGGAGGAGCGAGTATTGTGCAGGGGAGGCGCCAGGAACGAGAGATTGGCATGCAGGGAGAAATAAGTTGGTGATTTAAGCGAAAATTGAGACTCGCCGAAAACGAGAAGAAAGTGGCATTGATTCCTCATGGAAGCAGCACCCAGCTGATTGATAGACCGAGAGTAAGTGAGCGAGGGGCAGAGTAGCGAGGGACAGACGCAGATGCGGGGGCCATGCACTGGGACTCTCCAGGAGGAGACGACCTGCTCCAGCGCCCAGCCATGGAGTCGATGCAGCAGCAGCAGCAATCACCTGCAGATGCCCACACTAGCTCTCCAAATCGCCCTGTTCATGCTGAAACAGGTTGGTACCGTATTGTGATCTCTGACACGTTCTCTACCGTCTCATCACTCTTCCTATCTTTCCCTTCTCTTCTTTGGACGGGAAACTTGCCTAGTCGTCATGACTGCTCCGTTCTGGGGCAGTCCTCACAAGCCTATCCGGTTTCATACTACTCTTTCTGTTCCTGGAAGCCTTTCAATGCCGCTTGCCGGTTGTACACACCCTCCCGTGCTGGTACAAAATAAGCAGAACCTTGCCTTGCTTTTCTGACATAAAATTTCTGAGAGCAGAACAAAATCCCAGCCTTGTACTTTTTAAGATCATCTTCTTTCCAGTTCTGGGGAGTATAGTGGATTCATGGACAATTCTCTTGCACAGAGGACGATCAGAGCCGAGATTTTGCTCTACTGCTTGATGATAAACCGTTTTCCCCATGAGATTACGAAGCAGAAGATAAAGCTCTTTGCCTAGCCCTTGGACATTCTTGAGTTGTCAAGGATTGGTTCTGAGTTTCAACTTCTTCCCATATATCCTTCCCCATTTGTGGTTTGTGGGTTTGTATGCTGATTGTGTTTGACCTAAGAGTCTTCATTTTAAGAATCATCTGACCGCCTTGGCTTTTCTCTACATAATATCTGTATATATGTCGTTGAAAAGGAATATGTATGAAATGTTCAATCCTTGTACCGAATTACTTTCAATAAGCCTGTTTGGGAGAGTGATGTTCTAAGAAGACAGTGTAAGTAAGACTTCAGAGAGTACTCTACCATTCAAGGGTAGTATTGAACATATATGTGTATCAGTCCAGTGTTTCTTTGTTCTGATCAAAACTGGCCCCACGTCATCCTGTGTCACCACTCAAAGGTGGGAGTAATATTTTGTGAAGGAATTTCAGGAGTGATAGTTCTATGCAGACCTATATCGTTTTCTTTGTAAACATGAGTTTTTACTTCAGAGTTTACATTTTCATACTGATCAACTACTTAGCTATAGGAATGGTAGCGAAGTTACAGTTTCTTACTGGTGTGTAATGTGGCTGTGCTTATTTTGTGTGGTACGGAATGCAATTTTTCGTGAATGCTAGGCTCCTGTAGGTTATTATGTAGTCCGTGTGTGAGAGAGGTGCAAAGGCGTAAGGAGTGGGTCAGGCTGATAGAGCCGTCCTAGCTGGGGCACTTTGTGCACTCCACCATCAAGTTCACCTGTCGTTTCCATTCACCTCCATTCTCCTGACTACCACACTCTCGCCTCCATCCGCACCCACCTCTGCCCAGACAACATGAGCAGCATCACATCCAGCATCAGGTTCCTCATATCAAATGCAGCAGCCGGATCAGTTATAGGTAAAGGTGGTGCAACCATCAGCGAATTTCAAGCGCAATCAAATGCAAGAATTCAGCTTTCTAGGAACCATGAGTACTTTCCAGGAACTACGGATCGGATCATATTGATAAGTGGGACAGTAAGCGAGATATTGACCGCTCTTCATCTTATTCTCTCGAAGATATTGAATGAGGTACGTCTCTCATGTCTCCCATTTCAATGCTACCCTTTTTGCTCAATAGCATAATTTTGTTGGTTGCCAATGCCTACATTTTCATGAAAACATGAAATTCTTTGCGTTTTCCGTTAAATCTTGCTTAACGGAAATATTATTGCATGTGTAATTATCTTGATTGAAGGCCGAGGATGAAAACGAAGGCGATCAAAAGTCCAACCAAGTTAGACTTATTGTGCCTAATAATGTGTGCGGAGCGATTATTGGGAAAGGAGGTTCAACAATTAAGTAGGTCATCCAACTTCTCCACTTTTCAATTTCATCATATTCCTCTTCATGCATTTAGAGATGACCAAATATACGTATTCCGGTTCCGTAATGCTCTTAGACAAAACAACTATTAATGGAAATGTGGTAAACTTCTATAGGTCAAATACTGAAATTATTCTTGTTTGTCTATGCAGAGCATTTGTTGAGGATTCAGGGGCAAATATCAAACTTTCGTCACATGATCAAACCATCCCTGGAGTCAGCGACCGCATGGTCACAATAACGGGAACGCTTGAGAAGCAATTACGTGCAGTGGATAGTATCATCTCCAAGCTATCAGAGGATCCTAATTATGCCCAATATGCAAATGCTCCTATTTCTTATCCTGGTATGTCTTATATATTATATATTATGTCTTTTTACCATGTGTCCAACTGCGTCTACATTTCATCTTTAAAGAGAATTTTTATTCCTTTGGACGATCTAATATTTGGGATTGTGTTTCAAGGAATGGGACTTCTTGGTATACAAGGACTCCGAGGACGTTATGCAGGTTCTCCGGTACAGTCTCCTGGTTATACTGCCGTCCCATTCGCCTCAGGTGGTTCTGCCAATGCTCGGAGCAAGGTACTACCAACTTCTCATGGTTCTCATATTGACGGAACGAATTGTGATCACCTTGGCTAACTGGGATACCTTGTCAAATGTGGGAAAAATATGTTCCAACAACACGATTTAAAATTTGTGGTTGCGCTGTATCAGGGACTTATGCCTCCACTAGTAGGTCTACGGTCTCCCGTTCAAATCACATTGCCTGTTGTTGAAGCCGGGCCGCTTACCACATCTCTCACTGTGGCTGTACCGGATGATCGAATTGGTGCCATCGTCGGTCGCGCTGGGAAAACTATCGCCGAGATTCAGATGGTACTGTTTTGAAAGTTTGGAACCATGCATGTTATACAGTAAAATCATAGATAGGTACTGAACGCTGATGTTAATGTTCTCCTTTGTTTCATTATGGTTCTATACGACATTAACGTCTACACCTCCCTGTTCGTAGGCGCAGAGAATGAGTAGAGAAGTACAAGGCCTTACGGCATTAGTTCATTAATTAACAATATACTCAACTTCATCATGTCTTCCTATACTCTTTAGAACTGTGTGTGTTTTGCATGCAGGCAAGTGGGGTCAAAATCAAAATCTCGGAGCGAGGAGATTTTGTGGCTGGCACTAAATCTCGGTTCGTGTTATGTTTTCTTTTCCTTGTGAATTTTGTCCTTTGTGTGAATATTTTTTTCTTCTTTTCTATTTAGTATACACAATTTAATTATCAATTGTGTGTGCAGGAAAGTTACTATCGCAGGAACTGCAGAAGGTGTGCGCATTGCCCAGCATCTATTGACACAAAAAGTCCAACAAAGTTTCGCATCTGAATATGACAGGTGAGGCAGGAAGAAGGGCTAGGACTAGATATGAGGAGAACCAAGTAGCTAGAAGTTAATAAAGCCATGTGAATAAGAACTAACATCTTAGTAAGAGGTGATGTTTTTTCCAGTGCTATTAGTTCTTTGCCGGAAGCTTTTGAGAGGGAGAGAGAGAGAGGTAGGACCACAGTAGGTTAGCAGACCTGTCCGTCATCAGTTATTACAGCCTTCTGCCTAACAGGATTATTGAATTTCGGGCCTGTTCCTGGGGAATTTACTCTAGGCTTGTAGAAGAGCGAGCGCACTTGAATGTCCCCTTAAGTAGCTGTAGAGTCAGTTAGACGGCCACCAGTTGGAATCGAGTGTCTTTTAAGTGCCAGAATGAGTTGGGCACCATTGGAATAAACTTCTCGTGTACATTACATGAACTTTCACTATTTGTGGGAGAAACATCAGTAGGACTTTCTCCCAATTCTGAAATAGATTGATTATGAGACAAATGATACATGTAATGCTGATGATAACGTGCAATCTGAACCTATGCTTTCATTGGCATAAACAGTGTGAAGATGTATGAGTTGGTTTATCTGATAGAACTGTAGAATGTTTCGGGGCCCTGGGTTCAGTAGATACATGTAGTCCATGCAACCACTCCCTGGAAAAGAGACTATGTGAGCAGTAGAGAGGCTACCTAGATCTTATCAAAAACAGTTTGAAAATGCGATAGTTGCTTTCTCTAATATAACTGTGAATGAGGTTTTAGCTTTGGGTATAGTAGAGTTGCGTAGGTCATGCATCTTTCTCCTTGGTGCCTGGACCACGTAAGCAACTGAGATGCGACCTAGAGGTTGCCGTCGTACTTGTCCTCCGTGACACTTCAACGTAAGTTGCATGATTGGGATGAGAAATGGGCTGTGGAAATGAAATATGGTTCTCAACCTCAGTATTCAACAAGTTCAGCCATGTTCGGGGCTTAGTTGACGTCTCAACTTGTTCTGATGTTTTCCGGGTAGTGACATTTATTCTGGTTAGCGCTTCAAATTACAATACGAAAATAAATACAAATTACTTATCGAGAGGGTAAGCTTAGTCAACATATCTCCACTGAAATAAAATTGAGTCATGTGTGTGTACACGAACGTGAGAGATATGCAACAAAGCAGATCCCTCACACCAAGGAAGAAAACACCAGGAAATATATTCAGATTGCAGCAACATGCAAACTTCTGAGTGAAACCATGAACTTCTTTAAAAATGTGAGACCTTCAAAATCCTTCACAAAGGAATATCCATAACTTAAGATTATGGATATGAGAACGGCATAGATAAAAGTCACACTACTACTAAGCCTCTAGGCAGTAGCGGGAACTTTCCTGCCCTCTTCCATAAAATAAATAGCAGATTCCGGTACCTGACAATGACGATGTGATCACAGTAGAGCAGACGGATGGTTAGCAAAAGTAGTGTGTCGCAAGTTCTGGTGGGCGAAAAGTAAACAACACACGACAGCTATCAATGTTGATATCAAAAGATGATCTATATGCACATAGACGGAACTAGGCGTTGGTAACTATATCTATAAAAACTTCAACACAATAGTTGAACTACAGACAGCGCAGAAAAGCAAGGATGTTCTTCCAAACAACTAGACAGAGGAATCGAAATGAGACTCTGATGGCTCTGCACAGTCATCTCAGCATGACGGACTGTACGTAACTTGTCTACAGAAAATAAGAACCCCGAGAAAACATGAGAAAAACAAGACTTAAAGAACAATTAACTCAGAAAGCGCGCACATACAGAGGCAGGTAGGGAAATGCTTATCACCTAGGTAGGTTCAGTTCGGTGCAATTCTAAAAGCATCACGAATTTTGAAAAGAACTGAGTAATGTGGTCGTTTCTTATAGTTGGTATGGAGTTTTGTGAGAGATCCATAAAAAAAAATATGGGGTGTTGGATTTCAGCGCTAATACTCTTTAAGATTTGAGCAGATTGATCAAGTCTAAAATCAAAGGTGATGCACCTATGAGGCAGCCATATAATACATACGTTTGTCCACGTCTCTGTGATGAACTCCACTATATCATACATAATATCCCCTTGGACATCTATTTGCTCTTTCTCCGTCGGGCCCTACAAATAACAGGAAAAAACAAAGGTCATTGAATTGCTTGACAAGTAAGAGCATACATGACTGATACCAGGAATTCAAAACAGAGGGAACAATCTGTATGATAATTTGGAAATAAGGTTCGACAATCCTACAAATGCAACAATCTATCTGAAACCAAAAGAGATAAATATACTGTAAGCTACATTGAGAATCTGGGCCATAGACGTGAACCTATGGTCTATATTGCCCATGTGTCAGTCAGAAACTTCATATAAACCAAATGTTGTTATTTATGCAAAGAAGAAGATCCTACAGGTCTCCATTTTCTCAGTCTTCGAAGTCTCTTAAGAGGCTGCGAAGTCTTCCGTAGCGTCAATATGATGAAGTAACTCACCTTGACTACAGATGCACCACTAGCAAACTTCTTGCCAAGTTTCTTGGATGCATCACTTAACTTCACCCCTGCAAACATTGGGACAAGCTTAACACTAAGACTTCGACCACTGAAAACCTTAAGAGTAAGGCTGAAATTTCATCAGATAACAAAACGTAGAGAGTATGGAAAGGTAAATGCAGAATCTAAAACACAAACTACGCAATCAAAAGCTACATCAAAGAAGAGCCTCAGGGAAACCTGAATAACCAATTTAAAAATCAGCACCTATAAAACCATGCTAAGGAGCTAAACGATTGGTAGCTTCAGATCTAGTTCCATGAGCTTTGAAACAAACCAAACATGTCGAGCCCTTTGATAATTGTCACACATTTCCTTTTATTTCGAACCACCTTCTCCACCACGACCTCTGGCTTTTCCTGGAAACACAGTAACATTGCACTCAAATGCCGTGCATGGAGTCCAAATAGGAATGTTTTTCGTAGATGTAAGTCATTACATTGTATTCGTGCAAAGACCTACTGAAGACAAACGACAATGCGGGTAGCCGGAAGCCAATCCGACCAAACTCAACAGAAGAAGCAGTGCTATGAATGTGCTATGGCTATGATAGGCTCAATTAAAGGCACATGTTTGTCCACAAAAAATCAGGTCAGTAACAAGAGCCCAAAGGTGCAACCTTCGCGGACAGCACATGAGGACGGTCATCAAAGCAAACCTTTTTCTTCACTTTTCCTCCAGGTAGCTTCTTGACTTCCTCCGGTTTTGAATCGGATGTACTTCCTGCACAGAATCTCAACTATTCAGGCGCAATACATTTATCAACAGTTAAGCACACAATATGATAATCTCTGTGCCAGACCTCAGTATCAGGAACAGCTCAAAGGTCAGGCAGTTAAAATTGACAACAAGCACTGAAAAGATTCCATGTCAACCCTAAACCTCTACAATACCGATTCATCAGAAGCGGCTCCTGGAGAAGAACTGGAAAAGTAGTAAGTCAATATTGTGGTACTTTACACAGCACCTTCATATAATGACAACATAGAAAGGCTTTGTGCAATAATCATACCTTGACTCTTAGATGCAGACGATACTTCCAAGCCCTCCAGCTGTTCTGCTGTTTTGTCAGCTGCCTCTACATAAAAATTAACAAGCCCAAGTTAGCAGAACTTTCAGATTACTGGATCAAGTACCTCTATACCACTTTTTAAGTATATATGATCCTACCTTTGGCTAGCTCGGGATATAACTCGGGTGCGTTCTTGATGAGCCATGGTTTGCACTTCTCAAAATCGGGGCCATACTCGCAGTACTCCGCGGGCAAACTGCACACTGAAAGGTTTGTCGACCTTGAGCCTGTTAGGTTCGAGAGACAAAAAAGCATAATAACACTTGGTGATGTATGGGCTTGAATCGCAAGGAATCCTTGTGACCAGTTTCCGCCACTTCGGTCATGTATGCTTGGATCATGCAGTGCAAGCTATCAAATTGTGAAAAGAACTGAGCTATGAGGAATCTTGCACCTCTAAACCCAAAGTCTCAGATTATGATAATCAGCCGGAATTTCAAGGCTTAAACAGCTCCAAGAATTTTCTCAGAGATATATGTCGGATGTCAATCCAGATACAACAAAGTGGTAAGGTGGACAATGATGAAAATTAGGTCAAAATCTAACCTGGACAATACAGGACTTGCTGCGGAATAGGCTTTGCAGCCATTGCCCTCGATCGATCCACCAATTCTTCACAAGATTTAATCGATGATCTAATCAGCTCGGCAAATCAGTTTTAACCTGCAAATTCCGACGAAGTTAACAATGATGAGAATCTCTCTCCCAGTGAAAACGAAAAAGATAAATGCAACGGTGGCATCTTAAGCACAGGCCATACGCCTCTACCCTTCGAAGACCTTGCACAGCAGATGGGAGGAGCAGCAAAACCAGAGTTGCATCAAAGCACGAGCCAAGCCAGCTGGGACGATGAAGTCCCATGAAAACAACGGAGTTCTCAGGAAGAATCTCCCGGAGATGAAATGCATAGGAAACAGAGGCGGCGCATCGGGAGAATGAAGTAAAAGGGAGGGAAAACAATGATAACGAAGAAGGGAACCGAGAGTACCTAACAACGATCGCAAGCACAAAGGAGTTCAGGCAGGGCTGATCCACCCCTGCTGGGTACACTTATTCGCCGCCTAAAATTTCCTGAGGCAAGTCAAATCTACGTTACGGTGCTTCTTCTGCTTCCTGCACACCTCGGCTCCATCCTCTTTCCCCTCCTCCCTCTCACTGACTGTCACAAGTTAAATCCTAGGATCCCGCAGGCAGACACGCAGAGCTCAAAAATCCTCAACTCCAGCAGACAGAAGCAGCAAGTGTCACGTTGAAATTCATTGGCTCACTGAAGGAGACGGATTGATTCGTTTACCTCTCGTCCCAACAGCCCAGCTATCTCTTCTTTCCCTTCCTTCCTTCCAAATTCTGTCCTTTCCTTCCGTTCCCTTTCGACTTCTTCTTCGGATGATGGTGATCGAGGCTCTCAGCGACGTCCTGGCACGATCTCTGGGTGCAGATTCCGGAACAGCCCCGAGTTCTCCTCTCTCTCTCTACCTCGCGCTCTCTTCGACCCCGTCGCTGGAGTCACACTGACGATCTGCCGTTGCACGTCTTTTTCCCGAGACCGACTCTCCTCAGCAAGCTGCGGGCACGAGCTGGCCGCTGTACAGAACGAATGCCCCGACCTCGACCGGCGTTCCATGTCGCGCGACCCCCACTACTCTTCCCCAGATCCTCATCCTCTAAAGCACGTTATCACGTGTCCCTCTATTTCCCTATAATTTGATGCCATCGATTCTTTCCCTTTCGTTTTTTTTTCTCGAAATTGCATCGCCCTCGTTACCAAACATGACCTTCAACATCTGAAAAGAAGCTGATTATAGTGGACGATTTCTTCAAGTAAGTTTCGTTCAGCTCTTTGGAGAAGTGAAATTTCTTTTCTGTATTTTATATAAATTTTACATGATTCATTTCATTCACACTACATGTTTACTCTACTTTTCTTCAAAAGCTTAAAATTAATCTCAAGATGTTTCATATATCTTGTTGTGATTTCATTTCTTCATATTTTTTTAATTATTATTATATAACTTGATATTCAGTTTCAAAACACAAGAAATATGAAAAAAATAATTATAACTATATTGCGATTTCAACCAGATGTAGTTTGAAATAAAACTTTGTTGCAGTGAGGTATATAGATATTTGTATAAAATTGTATTCTTATCATCATTTGTTTCAATTTCATCTTAAAGCTAAATCTATTCAACAAAATAACATATATATTTAGCTCTAATTGTAAACAGATTTATGTATTTTTGCTAAGTAAATAATCAACTTATGCATACACCGCCAAAAATAAAAACATATGTGGTTGTAGCTTTATTTTTGTTCAGAGTCAACATCAAAGAACAATATATAAAGCAACTTTACCTTATCTTTTTTTTCAAAGTCATCTAATAATCTCATATAGATATTTTGTCTAGAAATTCACAAAAAAACAAAATAACTACATTCATATAATTCATAACCATATTAAATATTGCTGCTAGTGCATATACCAGTTGAATTGTAGTTTATTTTGCTATATGTAAATATAATTAGTTATAGTTCAAATTTTTTTCTTGTGTGATTTAAACTAATTTTGTAGATTTTTCTCTCATCATATGTTGGATTGTACTTCAACTTATACATCCAATTGCAATCAATCAAAGCTTGAGTTTTTGAAAGTTTCATTAGCTTTTTGGTTTCATGCTCCATAGTAACATTTCACTCAAGCTTATTGATAAATGTTTGAGGTTTTTTTATAAAATAAAATTTCATTTTTTCTAGTATCAACATAATGTGATTAGCACTCTTGATATTAAAATCAAAATCTTTAGTTATAAATAAATTAAACCATAATCCATATTAGTTTTACTAATAAAATTTGATGATTTCATAATAGACAAGTCTTATTGATCTTTATTATATAGTGCATAATTTGATGTTCATCATTAATAACATGTTTTTTCAATTTTACTCTTTAGTAATTTGTTCTATCTGTATCCGAGCTTTTCTTGACATCATTAATCACATAATGATCAATTTTTTTTCAAACATCATCCATGCATAGAGATTTGAATTTCTCAATACAATGAGCATGAATTTTTTCCTATTTCAATGATTTGAGCTCATAAAAAAAGTATCATTATTGACAATCACAATTTATAATCATTCACATCACTAGCATATGCAAGAGAAAACACTTATTGGATGTAGTATTAAACTTCATATGAGATTATAATCGGAACATCCAAAATTTTTTACACAACTATAATAAATCATGCGTTTATGACTAAATTCAAATAATATCACATATATGATTGCACTAGTAGCAAAATGATCTACAAATTATAGTTTAATAATTACAATTTTAATCCAAACTTTATAAAATAAATCAATCTGATTCAACATACTGTGTATCTTTTTCAACATAATTTTATTGAGATTTTCAAAAACAACATTTTGTTGCAAAATTGCAACAAAATCTATATCATGATGAAATGACGAATTTTTTGTTTACAATACTTTCAAAACTACTCAAAGATATACTTCGGCATTATTTGTAAATGAACATCTCAACTTTTCTCTAATGTGAATTTCAACTTAGATGTTATAATTTTTATAAGTTGTAAAGATCTTAGACTTTTGTTTGAAAAATATACCCACATAAACCTATAGTAATCATCAATGAAAAATAAAAATACATAGTACAACTTCTTAAAAAATGAGGTTCTTGGAAAAGGAACCACAATATGGACTCAAAGCTAACTCTCATTGAATTGATTTTATGAAAGCTCATCATGTTTCTAGAATGTAAGGATTTTTAAATTTTACGTCTTCCAAACACTCTTTTATACAAACTCTTCATTCAAATGCAAACATTCATTGACATTCCGAAAGGATAATGTACTTCATACTTATATTGATGAAACAAATCCTCACACAATGAATTCTCCAAACTTGTAGGAGGGTTATTCACTATCTTTTTACTTATACTTTTTGAGAAATTATCACATTAACAAATGATAATTATTATCAAACTCACATTTACAAAGATAAACCTAGATATGTTTGACAAATTTTCAATATGTGACAACATGTCATCGACCTACTATAACACTAGAAAGAAGCTCATTTAAAGATGAAAACATAAACTTTAAAGAAGATAGATATCAACAATGACTTTTCTTTCCCTTATATAGCTCTTACCAACAAGTACAAGGAAATAAGATCTCTTCACCATCATCTATTTAACTCATTGTGAATAGATGACGTGACAGATAACTCTAAAAGCACACGGATAACTGACGTGACGATATCAACTAACACACATACGCTCTACCTTACAAACAAACAGATCGCTAAAGTGACGATATCAACTAACACACATACGCTCTACCTAACAAGCACACGGATCGCTGATGTAGCGCTGTCAACTAACACACTTACTCTCTACCTAACAAGCACACGGATCGTTGATGTAGCGTTGTCAACTAACACACTTACTCTTCATCTATCAAGCACACAGATCACTCACGTGACAGCTATGACTAGTGCATGTTAAAGTAAATCTATAAACATTTTGAGAACATAAAGTAAACTCTATTTCAATTCTAACTAACTAAAGATGATTACAAACCTCCTTCCTTTTAAGACGCGTGCAACATACTCGTTGCACATCTGTTCAAATTTTTTAACTATCGACGGTGCACTAGCTAGATTTTTAGCTGGTTCATAAGTTGATTCGTATGATGAATATACTTTTCATTGATTCAAATATTCAACCTTGAAATATTTATTGCCTCAAATCCAATTTTTTTAGGATCGATTCTACCTCAAATTTTTCTTGATCACCTATCAAGATTGGTAAAGGAAATAACATTGGATGGTTTGCAAATTGTTTTAGTTGAAGTACATATTTTTGCAATTGTGACACATGAAATACATGATGTATTTCCTTATGAGATGGAAGTTTCAATTGTATGACATTTCACGAACACATTTCAATATCACAAAAACTGTAATGAATCTAGAATTAAATTTTGGTGTTCATAGAAGAGACAAATTTGTTGTAGATAACCAAACCTGATTCCAATCTAAGAAATAACTTTTGATGATGAACATCAGCATGTTGCTTTTGTCAATTTTGAGCAATTCCATGTAGTATCAAAAGAGTTTTTCACTCTTCTTGCTCCTCTAATGTGAATGCCCGTAATATACTTTCTACCGTTTCATAGGCTCTCTTAGTTTGACCATCAATTTAAGAATGATCAGCTGTTGACATTGCTAATTTGGTTTTGAAAAAACTAAACAAAGTTTTCCAAAACAAACTAATGATTTGAGTATCTTTATCAATGATTAAGACCAATCATTGATAAAGCCGTCACTATCTGTGTGGTTGACCTTATGTGGATCATCTTGCTTAAGTTGTCCACAAAAATCACTAGTGAATCACTTCCTAACAAAGATTTTGATAACTTATAAACGAGATCCATGGTGACATGTTCCCATCACTGTTTGGAAATAAAGAAAGGTTTTAATAAACCAACTGATTTTTTATTATTTGCCTTGTTTTGTTGAAAAACAACACAACTCCGAACGTGATACTCCACATCCTCCCATAATTTGGACCAAAAGTAAACTTGTTCGATGCTCTCCAAGTTCTTCTCCACTGTCACATGACCAACCATGACTGCACATGATATTTTGATAAAATCATTGTGCGTAATCCTTGGTCTTGCAGAATCCATATACGTTGTTTGTAGATTGCCAAACCTCTAGCCTTTTCTTCCCTTTGAGCTTGTAGTGCACTCATGAACTATTCATTTTCCTTTGTGGCATGTGTTATTGTGGTAGTGCAGTTTTTGTTTGTTTGAAAATAAAGCATTTTTTTGAATAGTAAGTACCGAGGTAGTAGCTGTAGATAAGAATCGGTACGTGAAAAGAAAGTAAAAAGGGAATGGCGACGAAAGGGAGGAAGGGCTTCCTCCGGAGGCAGTTAGGTGCCTTGGGCGGGACGGGCGGTTCAAGCTGCAGGGCCTGCTTCACGCGCGCCTTCGGCAAAGGAGCCTTTGCCCGAAGCGCCTTCGGCGAAGGAAGTGCCTTCGGCTGAAGCTCCTTCGGCGGAGGCATTACCGCGGAAGACGTATGAAGCATTAGGGAAGCATTACAAGCTCCTTCGGCGGAAGACGTGACCTTCGTCGCTAGGCTTCACCTTCTGCCGAAGCGCCTTCAGCTGTAGCGCCTTTGGCGGAAGCAGGGAAGGAAAGTAAAACGGCGGAAGGGACTGCATTCGCCATTAGCGCCTTCGTCGCTAGTGCTTTCGGCGGTAGATGACTTCGGCGGTACACGGAAGGAGATCTACTCCGGCGGAAATCGGCGCGATTATGTCAAATGCACAAGTGTGGGAGTCCGCACAACGGCGGAGCGTGAATTCGCGCGTGTGAAGCATACCGTTACACCTCATCGCCGGCACAGCAAGCGGCCCGTTGCCATGTTCAAATGTCGAATTTGACAATTCTTGATGGGCAGAGGGGGAAACTCACTCACACATTACCGATTCTGCGCTTACACGAGCATGCAGCAATTGTCAAGAATTCGATGGCCAAGTCCATTCC